TCTTTTGCAGATGCTAGATCAGCTCCGCGAAGCTCAAGCAGATATCACCGACTTTGCGGATGATGTCGAGACTGTCACTTCCGCAGAGAACCTAGAGCAGTACCAGCCAACCATGGTAGCCAGGAGCGAGCTCCCAACGCAACGTCAGCTTAGAGGAATCAAGAGCAAGCAGGATCAAGCTGACAAGGAAATTGTGAAAAGAATCCGAGGCTCTGATGGAGTTCAGATCACGCAGAACACAGCTGCCGGCGCAGAAGCATCACTGAACCATACGTTCGCGGGCGCGGGAGAAGATATTATAGAAGTGTCAGAAACAGACACCTGGAACACTCAGAGACCCAGTGCCAGGGTCGCCTTTGGACCGTCGACAACATTCCTCCATGCCGGTCTGGAGATTGCAAGGAGGTTCACCTTGAACGAGCGGCAGGAAATCGCCTTCCTTTTAGTGTGTCGCCATCTCGACACCATCCCGGACGAAGATGACAGCGATGATTTCGGTAGCAGTAATGTCGAGAACAATGATAACGCACAACTATGCGAGTTCCTGGGTGGGGAGGGCGGCACCGGGAAGTCCAGGGTCATCGAGGCGTTGGCGGAATTGTTCGCTAGCAAAGACATATCGCACAGGCTGCTCATGACGGCGACATCGGGGGCCGCAGCAGCGCGGATCAACGGCGTGACTATTCACTCCGCCTGTGGGATGCAACCCAACGCATCCGGCAGCAATGCCGACGATGGCAGCACGGTAACCTACGTGGACGGTGATGGTCGAAGAAGATGGAGAGGAAAGTGGCTGCTCATCATTGACGAGGTGAGCATGCTGGGCCTCCAGACGCTCTCCGACATCAACAAGCGACTTTGCGCCTCCCGGGGATCGAATCAAGATTTTGGCGGGATCCCAGTGGTGCTACTATCAGGAGATTTCCACCAGTTCCGCCCAGTGCAAAACAAGTCGCTGTTGACGCCATGGTCCGCCCTCAGGATTGCGGACGAAATGAGGGCGCACGCACTCTGGGCTCGATTTACCACCGTCGTTATGCTCACCGAACAGGTGCGCGCAGCGGGGGACCCGGAGCTGCAGCGGCTGCTGACTCGGATCCGGCAGGGGCAGCAAGACGAGTCCGACATGGAGCTTCTTAATAGCCGGTGCTTTCAGGAAGGCCGAGCCATACCATGGGGCAAGGGCATCACAGCAGTCACACCCCTCAACAGCACCAGATGGTGCCTGAACATGGATGCGGTCTTGGCCTTCCAGAGGCACCACCAGAAGCCAGTCCGGATATTTCTACCCCAGCACCGTTGGGGTAAACCCAATACATTGCCGGTAACGGAGGAAGAAGCTACGCTCATGGCCAGCGTCGGTGATGACAGCAAGATCTGTGTGCCGGCCACATTCATGTTCGTGCCTGGTATGCCGGTTGTGGTGACCATGAATATAAACCCAGGCCTCAAGCTCGTGAATGGCGCCAAGTACACAGCGCTAGAAGTTATACCAGACACCAAAAGATTCCCAGGGTATCAACTCGCCCCGAACATTATCCTCCACTTTGGACCACCTGCCGGCATCATCCTGTCGTCCGAGTCAACCAAGAAGTTCGAATTTGATGAAATGCCACCAGGCACAATCCTGCTTACTCCAACGAGTGCGCAAATACCAATCGAAAAGAAGAAGAGGGTCAAGAAGAGGCCTTGGCAGAGGCATAATGTGAGCCGCCGAGGACTTCCCTGCACTGCAGCGTTCGCATGCACCGATTACAAAATCCAAGGCGAAACCCTCCTCGAGATTGCGCTGGAGCTGCGAGGAACCGGGACAAAGCTGAACACCAAGACTGGACAACTCGAGCCACGAAAGTGCGATCCATATAGCCTGTATGTGCAGCTATCGCGGTGCAAATCGCTGGATGGTATTATATTGCTGTCAAAGGCGCGTGTGGAGGATATAGTCGGGAATAAAATACCACAGGAAATGTTTGATGGCGAGGCTAGGCTGGAACAGTTGTGCGAGAGGACAGTAAATGAGGCCCGATTATCGTTATTGTCATATCCATCTGCACAATACTAGCAGTAATGTAATTTAGATAATAGGTTTCTTATATATAAATAGAAGTAGGTAGAAGGATAGAAAACCAATATATATATAATCAGAGCATAAGAGAGAATCTCATAAAATGTATATATATAAGGACAAGAATGGATGGATGGATTTTATTTCGCCCGGGGGGACACACCCCAGAGGGCCGTTGCGCTAAGCTATTTTCGTTTCATACGGTTCTTCCATAATCGCCCGAAGCCCCACAATTTCACTTTACTGATTGGTCTAATCTGATGTATATGCAGTGACAGGCCTGCTTGAAGGCCAATTTCTCCAAGTGTTCAGCATCCTATCCTCAGCAGCTGAAGCACGGTCTGCCAAAATGAGACTGTATGATGTTAGTAGGATTCAATCTGAATAGTTAGTGTGCCTGAGGCTTCTGGTCCATGTCAAGCCTCCCCGTTGCAATGGCAAATTTGATCGTCGCCCGTACTGCCCGCATATCTGGCGCCCATTTGTCACCGTCAGACGCCGCCTTCCCTCCCAGGAAGTATGATAGGTTTCCCATCTTTGTCTGTGAGCATCGCAACATGCCTTCCCGTTGCGCGGTCCATTTTGCGCAGCGAAATAGGAAGTGTTCCACTGTCAGCAAATGAGGAGTCCCACTAATAACGTGACCAAATCCCAATGACGCTAAACTTCTCTTGGAAATTGGCCTGAGCATGCTGAGGTAACGAGTTCCCACGTACATTTCACGTGCATTTCACGTGCATTTCACGTGTCTCTTAACAAGAAACCCTCCAAAAACGAGAAGGTTGGCACCTCTGGGGCCATTCGGATGGGGTTAATCCGGACCAACAGGAGGTGCAGTTGCGCTTACTATAATCCGGTAATTTTGCAAGGGGGGGGCCAAATTTCGGGGGTGAAAAATCCCAGAGCTTAAGAAGACCTTTCGTACCGAAAGGCACTCCTTTACACTTGATCTCAGAGAGCGAATGAGAGTTCACATGTGCGGATTGGCAAATGAGGAAGAGAAGATTGGCACCTCTGGGGGCATTCGGATGGGGTTAATCCGGACCAACAGGAGGTGCAGTTGCGGTCACTAATCGGGTAATCACTTAATCGGGTAATTTTGCAAGGGGGGGCCAAAATTTTGGGGGTAGAATCCCAGAGCTTAAGAAGACCAGAGCTTAAGAAGACCTTTCGTACCGAAAGGCAAATCCCAGAGCTTAAGAAGAAAGACCTTTCGTACCGAAAGGCACTCGCTCGCGCCAATCAGTGGGGGAAGTGCCAGCTACTACCAAATCATTCTCTGTACGCGTCGATTTGATGCAGAAAGGCGCACTTTCTACGTCTTAAGCGCCATCAAGATGCGGGGAAAGAACCATTGTATGTATCGCGGCAGGGCTGCTCACTCATACGGTGCCACGCCTACGTACCGCTCCCCACATGACCCCCGCCAAGGCCGAGGTACATAGAGTGACTCTGAGCGCCGGCGAAATCAACCCCGCCAGGCAGTCAATGCGTATGATGACCATAGCTTCATTCGTATTGATGACAGCCGCCGCGAGCAGCCGGCTGATAACATATTTCTCGATAACTTATTCTCCTCCTGCGACCTCTTTCGACGACTCCGGCAGTGTGGCCACGGCGCTACGGGCACAGCCCGCAGGAACTGTGGCATCTATAAGGATAACACAGCTGCCGGCAGCCTCAAATTCAATGACATCAGGGCTATCCGTACAGCTGATAATAAGGTTAACCAGGTCGCTTGGAAAGACAACGCCCTTGTGTTATTCCTGACAAATCCCTCGGCTTGTCAAGCCTGTAAAGGAATATGGCTTGGAGAGGGGCGGCCGCAGCCGTTGCGGGCAGTCAACGGCAATAGAGGCAGTGTAATATAGCTCTATGTAGAGCCGGAAATTGCTGGGACTTTTATCACCATATAAAATAGGTGGGGCTGAATGTACCTTTGATTTGCTTTACTCTAGTTGGCTAGACCCCACTGCTCGTGACCCAGGTGTTGCGTTACGACAATTACAGTGGGACGCAAAATGTTTGAATCCAAAATTTGTAGTAGTGACGTACCTTGGAGTAGGCCAGTCCATTTTAAGCTTAGTGTCTTGCCCTTTTAAAGCAGAGTTCTAACATCAGAAAGCTCTACTAACAATTAGCGGCTTCGAAAAATTTTAGCGATTGAATTAGCGACTGTGTATCGCTAAATTCTAGCGCTCTATAGGGCTAAGTCGCCTAATTATGCTAGGAAAATTAAAATAGCGAGAAATTGTGATTAAAATCGGACTAGCTCCAGAATGGAGTACTGCTTAGTACGAGATTTTGGATTCAAACATTTTGCGTCCCACTGTAAAGGGATTGTCAGATAATGTCACGAGCCCTGATTCTGTGAGGCGTCTGATTGGATGTATGTATATTCTGAGTTGCATATGATCCCCGCTCTGAGTCCCTGTACATCCTTATACTGAAACCAGCTAGAAGGATATAGCTATAGCAGTCACACGCCATATACACGCCCAGCTACCCAAATACACATCGTGACAGATAACTGTTACGCCACTAGCAAAAGTGTAGGCCCACACCCAGTGTGGAAAAATAGTACCCTATATGCTATGCGACAGGGATCCCATAGGACTAGTCCTGTCCGTTGTCTGGCCTAATGGTACGTTAGTCCTAATCCAAAAGCGGAGCCAATGCCGGGCCAGTTACCGGGCCTAGATGCCGATGCCGAGTTAGAAGAAGCCGTGAATACCCCGCATTGTCGCGTATTGTATTATATTAAGACGTGTCGCATGGAGAACTTGCAGGAAAGGAGGTAAGAGAGGAGACGAAGAAGAGCTTAGCGGAAGCCTCAACTCGCATTACGAATCCAACGTTTCTCTAACAATGGTATCAGACACGCTCTCCTTCTTTGGCAAGCTGGGGTTGGCCGTTGGGATCCTGCTGGGTAAGCATGCTGCCATGCTTTGAATTGATCATTTCCTCTAACCTGGTGACAGCGGTCAAAGATTTGGTCATCATCCTTATTCGGGGACTACCTCTGGCTATCAGACGGAGAATCCCATTGAGGCTCTGGTTCGCATCATTGGTCGGTCGAACCTTATTAGGGAGTTTCAGCCCCAACCAGATTCAATATCTGACCACGCCGACATTGGAGGTGTACGAGACATGGGTCAAGAAACAGCGAGCCAAGTTAATCCAGCAGACGCCACAAGGTTCTTTGAATCTATTGAACCTTGACATTGAGAACCTTGGCGGCACGGGAGCGTCAGTTATGTGGATTGGAGACCGTAAGGAAGCATCCAAGATTGTCCTCTTCTTCCATGGCGGCGGATATATCTCGCCTCCCCTTCCTGGTCATTTCACTTGGTGCTGGGAAGCGTACGTCAACGCTAGTCTGGGGGCCAAGGCTCAAGTTGCAGTTGCAGTATTACAGTACACTCTTTCGCCCAGAGCCCAGTACCCTGACCAGCTTCGCCAAGCCTCTTCAGCTCTAAACCACCTACTTCAAAGTGGCGTCAACCCGCGCGACCTCATCTTTGGAGGCGACTCAGCCGGTGGAAACATGTCAGTCCAGCTCCTCTATCACATACTTCACCCTCATCCGAACATCCCACCTGTGAAGCTGGTTCAGCCTGTTGCTGGCATCTTCTTGGTGTCTCCTTGGCTTAGTTATCGAACCGATACGGCTTCATTCAAAGAAAACAACAATGTCGATATGCTCTCGTCGGGCCTCATCCAACAGACATCCCACCACGCAGTTCGTCGGGATGATTTAGCGCCCAAGTCTAGTGAGGCTCATCCCGTGTGTGCAATGGACGGGGACCTGTCTTGGTTAGAACATGTTCACGATATTACGGATGCACTCTATGTCACTGCTGGTAGACAAGAAGTATTTCGAGATGCCATCGTGGGGTTCGCAGAGGCTGTCCGGAGGAGGTGTCCTTCTGTAAGCGTTGACCTTGAAGTTTCCGACCACGAGGCTCATGACTACATTCTCCTCGAAAACGACGCGGGAATCATCGGAGATGCGACCCAAAGGATGAGGCGATGGGCGTCAGGCAGATTTGCGACCTATGAGTCTTTGTAGGGTTTTAAGATGGTACATCCAATTCAAGCTACTGAAAACACCCACCACCAGTGATCAAGAGGGAGTCATTAACTATCGAGGTTTCTATACAAATTTCAATTCTAAATATTCAGCCACGCAAAGTCGACAGCGACGTTTCGATTATGTTGTGATAGACGGTCGCGGAGGCAGATATGAGCACCAACGAGGGCCACACTGATGCGAATATATCGCGGAGGTCACATAAAGTGAGGTTGTCATGTAGATGTAGAAAGATGGATGACGAGCTAAGACTACAGTTGAGGACGGGAGCATAAGGTCTCCTTTCTCACGTGATGTTACCTATAATGCCAGTCTTAAGCACCAGGCCCAAGACTGGTTCTTCACGTATCACTAATTGCCCACTATCGAATCGAGTTCGAACAGCAAAACAAGACCAAAAGGGGCGGTCCTAAGAAGTCACTCACGTTGCCCTTTATTTGCCAGCCAGAGAACCAGCTATCCGACAAGGACTGGGAGGTGGTCGAAATATTTGCGCAGATCCTGAGTTACTCTGAAGCTACGGTCAAAATGCTCGAAGGCGACGGCCAGATCCGCAAGCGGAAGCGTGGGGTGGACTGGGTCTTATGGCAATATTTGGGACGTAATTCAAGGCTTTGAATTCCTTCTTGAGCAGCTTGAACGCTTCAAGGATATCGCCAAGGACAGTCTGACGGCGAGATATTTTAACAGGCTGCTGGTAGTCTTGGTATCGAGGTCCTGAAGGGACTTGGCCAGGCTGGCTTCGACGTCCGCGTCCTCTCGCCCAAAGCTGGGAAGGTTCCCGCCGCCTATGCCAACCAGGTCAAGGAAGTTGTTGTTAAATACGATGACCCTGCGTCACTCAAATCAGCGCTTGATGGTGTTGACGCCGTCGTCTCGACACTTGGGGCCCCTGCCGTAGGTGGCCCCCAGCGCGCTCTCATTGATGCCGCCGTCAGCGCCGGAGTTCAACGATTTATTCCGTCCAATTTTGGTTGCGATCAACAGAACCCGCTCACACGCCAGCTTCCTGTATTCGCAGAGAAGGTCAAGACTGAGGATTACCTGACGGAGAAGGCCGAGTCCTCCTCGTTGAGTTACACCTATGTTTACAACAACCTGTTCCTCGACTGGGGCTTCACCCATGGGACCCTAGCCAACATCAAGGACCGGCGTGTGGTGCTTTATAACGGCGGCGACCTTGCAGTCAGCGTGACTCGGCTTGCCACAGTTGCGAAGGGTGTTGTTGGGGTTCTCAAGAACCCAGATGCCACTCGAAATCGTTCGGTTAGGATCGACGATGGCAAAATCTCGTTTAAACAAATTGCCGCAATTGCCAAAGACGCGCTTCCAGGCCAGTGGACCATCACTGAGGCTGACACAGACGCCCTCAAGGAGACTAGCGACCAGGCGCTGAAGGCTGGAACCGTCGAGGGATGGGTGTGGCTCAATTACATTCTCCAGGGAGGCACAAACGCAAAGTACGGCCCCGCTTTCGACAACATTGACAACGATCAGTTGGGGCTCGCCAGGTTGTCCGATGGAGAGCTGCAAGCCCTAGTGAAGGATCTTATCACTCAGACCGTGCGCGAGTAGACCAGATATGTTGGACTCGATGGTCAGTCTACAAGTCAAAAAGCCTAGCATATCAAACATTGTTCGCGGCCCTTGTATGAAGCCGGCGGTATTTGCATGTATATAAGGTCTGTCTGTGTATGCGACCTGACGAAGAACTTCTTTCCGATGCGATGCTGTACCGCTTCCAGCAACCAAAATTGCGGGCCAGAGTGCTTCACGATTGACTACTCATGGCCTTGTAATGCTGTGAAGTCGGTCTCTAATTTTCCCATCGTTGGGAATTTTGGGGAGATCAGGTAATGTATTTAATTATAGAGATAAAAAGAAAAAGTAGGTATTAAAATAATTATGCCAGTTGTGACCGCCTGGTCTCAACCTGGGTCGTGACAGGTTCGGAGTCTCTTTCCTATTAAGAAGCGCTCTCTGCCCGGCTCAATGTGAAGTATCAATCGGTAGGTCAGTGCATTAGAATGTAGCCACCTATCGTTCAAATCCTTAACTTGTGATACTTATCATTGCCATGCGGGCTTCCAACGGCTTCCAACTCCGAGCATTGTGTGACGTGGGCAACCCCTGAGCTAGTCAAGGGGACAGGGTGGGGCCGGCTACTAAATTATAGAGCAAGCGTTTCCGAGCTGTTTGGTCTGACTTATTGATTACAATGCCGACGCTTGGATTATCAAGGGATAGAAGGGTCTCGCCAAGACGACGTCTTTCAGGTTTTTTCATAGCACATAACAAGGTCGGTAAAGTCGGCAGTGGCATGTGTACCTGGTGATAATCCAACCCGGTCTGCTCAGTACTTCGATGATTACAACAGGAACCAGCCCAAACTTCGACAAAACAGCACTTTCAGCGGCTATCACCATGGCCGAGCCATCGCAGATTTCCAAGCCAAACCGAATATTTCCGATATCGATTCCCTTTCCCAAATCACCCAATAACACAACCGCGGCGGTGGCTCTTAGTTGGAATCTCGAAAGTCCCTCTGTTACTCTTTTTGATAAGGGGGCGGACGCCGTCGGAGCTCTATTTTCGGGTCTCCTGCTTGTACACGTGGGAGGAGACTTCGCCAAACTGGATGCTTTGGTTGCGTTACTCTCGATCCAAATAAGGCGACAATGGCCTCAATCTCGCTGGGGCTCTTGTGCAGACTGTCAGATACAGTCCGTCAATATTGAGACATGGAGTTTTCTCAATAGTCCGACAATACTATCAAGAGGCGTCCACCAATTTCCCTTCTCCTCGTTTATACCCGGGCACTATCCAGCAACCGTCAACATCCCTGCCTTTTTCATATCTTACAATCTCAAGGCCACGATGGATATCGCTCGAAGCCCAAACCAGCATGCTATCTCAAACAATCACATCGAACTCAAGGACTCTATAATGGTGAAGAGAGTCTCCTCACCACCGAAGCCTCCTCACCACTTGTACGTCGAACTGAAGCCCATCAAAGCTAGGGTGGGGGTGTTGTATGATAGTGTTATCGAACCGGAGGGTGCGAATGAGGTTGTTCTACATCTGGTCGATCTTCTGGATTATGATGAAATCCCTCAAAGAATCGTCTTCTGGCGACTGACATGTGTCTCCTGGAAGTTCGAAGAGACCATTCAGCACAGCTTTCCCCTATGCAAGCACCATGCCACGCCCTTCAAAACGGCAAACGAGCCAACGACAGATATTCGCGTTCTGGCCAAAGGCATATTACGAAAGGTTTGGGAGACTGATGGGATTGGGGGAGATGGCACAACCGACTTGAAGTTCAGTTATGCCATTGATCGGCAAAGGTTCCCGGGTCGTGAGTGCAGGCATGCTTGCGATGTCAAGCCTTTCTATGGACTGGCGGTGAAGCATTCATTGGAGATAGAAATTTTTCTCTCCCAAGAAACAGCTCATGTGTTGAAGCCAGATGTAGTAACTCCAACTCCTAAAGGGTTCTTCTATCGTCTAAGGTTTGACATAAACCTAACGCGATATGCTGATGGGGAGGTCAACTGGGATGAAGACACTCCACCGGTATATCAAGATGTGGCTTCACAACCTCCGGCATATATAGAAGAGAATGAATCATGATGGAGTTCGATTTAATCTCCCAATTCGCGAGGAAGTAGGGGTTCAATCTCATCATTACTATAGAATAAAGAGCAGCCTAGCAAAGTGATTGAAGCAGCCTCCACAAACCATCCCCGACCTGAAGGATTAGTGCTGCATTTATGCTAATGTTTTCCATAAATATTTTTGGAATTTTAATTCAAGCTCCCCCAGGTCCCATCAGGTGTCTCGTCTGGCTGTGCTTTTGGCTCTGGATAAGGGGACAATGCGTGGGTGGTCCAATCCCGCCCAGGTTCTAGCTCGTGAGTCATTCGCGCGCGGGATGCTCCGGGCGAGCACATGAAAGTCAGGGATGATGCTTATGGAGTAGTAAATGCCGTGTTTTCTGCCGAGACCACCTGCCAGTCTCATCTCCCACTGGCCTTAACGAAACTTATTATTGCTAATGCATGTCTTAGCCTCTCGGAGTTGATTGCTGGTGATGCGCACAGGCTTTTTAGTGGAACCTGCGATGCACTAACCTTGTGTAAATGGGAAGGCAAGCAAGTCCGAGAAGGTCCACTTCTGGCGAGGAGCTAGAGCGGGTACTCACAACTTCGCCACCCCCAAGCTTTAGTAATTAAAATTGAGTGTTTACACGTGTAATAGTGTGTGTTGGTGGATTGGACCAATTGTTGAAAATGGTCTCTAGCCAATAAAACACAGTAACGCCTGCACCTTATCTGGACCTCAATGTCCGCTGGCCCCAACACATTCTATCGCACAAGGGCTTGCTTACTCCTGTGGAAAGAGTATACACATCTGAATAATTACTTATACACTATGAAACTAAACAGATTTACTAATAACCCGACGCAATACTTGTACGTCTGGAGACAGCTTCTGCAACGCTAAGACAAGCTCATCGGCAGCTTGATCAAGCGCGTCGTTTGTAAAGGGGTCAAGTGCATCCAAGATGAACAAGACCTGTGTGGTATCACTATTCAGTGCGGTCCGACGGCATTGACGCCAATTCCAGCGGCGGCAGGTGATCCCCTTAGCATCACACCATATAACCTCCCCAGGATCCGCAAGCTCTGTGACAGTTTCTCCGCCCGACATAGTCTCAAACTTCTCCTGACCACTGGCACGGACCAAAAAAGGGGATCCATCGTACTTTTCAAAATCTTCGCCGCCAACTGGAACCTGATGCTTGATAGAAATAGCGTTGTAGATGTCTGTCAGCCGATTGACGCGTGGTAACCCCCCCTCTGCGCGGCGCGTAAGAGCCTCCAAACTGTTGCGTATGCGCTGCGGCTTAGCTCCAAAAGCCTTGTATGCCTCTCGCCATGCGGCTATATGTGGTATTTTTGTGACAGGATGTTGCGATAGCGCTGTTCTAGCACAGGCCTCAGCCTCTTGCAGAAGTGCCTCGCTGAAGTCGTCACTGGGACCTGGTGGGATACCATCAACCACCATCAATAGTGCGCGATAGTCCGGGCGTAGCTCAAAGACCTCTGGAGCTACTCGCGCTCCATTTAATAGTGATTCCAAGTGGTGAGTCGCGCTCATACTTCAGGTTGAAAATGATAGATGATAAAAATAGAGTTTGTTGTAGATTGGGGTTACCACGCGAACAGTGGACAGAAGAGGATGTAAATAGATGAATGTAATGCCTTTCGGTACGAAAGGTCTTCTTAAGCTCTGGGATTTTTCACCCCCGCATTAAGCGATTACCCGATTCGGAAGCGCAACTGCACCTCTTGTTGGCCCGGATTAATACCACACCCGGGTCCCTCGAATGGTCCTAATCCTCCCACTCTCATGCCTTTCGGTACGAAAGGTCTTCTTAAGCTCTGGGATTTTTCACCCCCGAATTTTGGCCCACCCCCCCTGCAAAATTACCCGATTCGGAAGCCCAACTGCACCTCTTGTTGGCCCGGATTAATACCACATCCGGGTCCCTCGAATGGTCCTAATTCTCCCACTCTCATTTGGCACATGCGGTCCTAATCCTCCCACTCTCATTTGGCACTTGTGGTCCTAATCCTCCCACTCTCATATGGCACATGTGGTCCTAATCCTCCCACTCTCATTTGCCACATGTGGTCCTAATCCTCCCACTCTCATTTGGCACATGCGGTCCTAATCTTCCCACTCTCATTTGGCACATGTGAATGAACTTCGAATCCACCCTCGCCCCCCCGAGATCAAGTGTAAAGAAGTCTTCATTGGCTGGGATTTTTTGTTAAGAATCACGTGGGATTCACCTGAGCTTTTAATTTATAATAATGTCGTTGCTCTTGTCGTTTGCATTTGGTGAGATTCTTGCTTCTGCTTGAGTGAGGTGAAATCTATTACATTAGATCGGATTTTTAATATATAATATATATATAGGAAACAGTGGATTGATTTTTCTCCAAATCTCATTCTTGATCTCCTTTATACCTTTTGGAATACCTGGTAGTCACTTGGCGGAGATTTTTGGTTTTTGGTGGATATCTGGTGCTGCGAACCCCGCTTCAGACGTCATCATCGTCATGGAACGCGAACCGGACGCTCCGGGCGGGGGACATCATCGTCCCCTGCGTAAAAGGGCCAGAACGACGGGGGCAATGGAATCGGAACAAAACACCCATCATCTATCAATACATACCTGACTGTCCCTTGGATTTGCTATCTAAATTATAACCTATATTATTGCTCGTATTGTGCGGATGGGTGCAATAATGATAACCGGGCCTCATTTAATGTTCCCCCGCACAATTGCTCCAGCCTAGCCTCGCCATCAAACATTTCCTGTGGTATTTTATTCCCGACTATATCCTCCACACGCGCCTTTGACAGCAATATAATACCATCCAGCGATTTGCATCGCGATAGCTGCACATACAGGCTATATGGATCGCACTTTCGTGGCTCGAGTTGTCCAGTCTTGGTATTCAGCTTTGTCCCGGTTCCTCGCAGCTCCAGCGCAATCTGGAGGAGGGTTTCGCCTTGGATTTTGTAATCGGTGCATGCGAATGCCGCAATGCAGGGAAGTCCTCGGCGGCTCACATTATGCCTCTGCCAAGGCCTCTTCTTGACCCTCTTCTTCTTTTCGATTGGTATTTGGGCACTCGTTGGAGTAAGCAGGATTGTGCCTGGTGGCATTTCATCAAATTCGAACTTCTTGGTTGACTCGGACGACAGGATGATGCCGGCAGCTGGTCCAAAGTGGAGGATGATATTCGGGGCGACTTGATAGCCTGGGAATCTTTTGCTGTCTGGTATAACTTCTAGCGCTGTGTACTTGGCGCCATTCACAAGCTTGAGGCCTGGGTTTATATTCATGGTCACCACAACCGGCATACCAGGCACGAACATGAATGTGGCCGGCACACAGATCTTACTGTCATCCCCGACGCTGGCCATAAGCGTAGCTTCTTCCTCCGTTACCGGCAATGTATTGGGTTTGCCCCAACGGTGCTCGGATAGAAATATCCGGACTGGCTTCTGTTCGTTCCTCTGGAAGGCCAAAACGGCATCCATGTTCAGGCACCACCTGGTGCTATTGAGCGGTGTAACTACTGTGATGCCCTTGCTCCATGGTATGGCTTGTCCTTCCCTAAAGCACCGACTGTTAAGGAGCTCCATGTCGGACTCGTCTTGCTCTCCCTGCCGGATCCGAGTCAGCAGTCGCTGCAGCTCCGGGTCCCCTGCTGCGCGGACAAGGCTCGGACCAACTACACTGCATAGCCACGTGGACCACATATAAGTGGCCCATCTCTATTTCATCCACCTCGTCGGCGCTCAGCTTACGTAATAATCCACTACATTCGGACCTGAAAGTGGATGTAATGGAGTGGATTTAGGTGGATTTAGGTAGATTAGGATATTCCCTGACCCTACTTATTTTTGTATATAATTGCCTATTAAATCGAGGTACCTGGACCCAAGTTAGCAAGGTTGATCACCTCCACAGCTAATCTTATAACCTTATACGAGAAACTGCCCCTATTGAGGGCGTTTTCAACAGATTTCCTGCTCTTATTTTTGCACAGGAAATTTTTAGACGATGTCAGCCAACCAGCCAGGCCAGCCAGGCCAATAGCAGCACCTCCAAGACCGTCTTTTTCGCCATTTCAGAGGCTAGACTTAGTCAGAACGCGCTCGTGATACGAGCTCTTGGCTGTGGGACTTTGGCTATGATATTCAACGTCATGGCTTACGCAAATGGGCTTGCAAGGACTGTATCCTCAGAAATCGTCCCATTATCGCGAGTTTTACCTCTTCAGGTCTCCAGAACGCAGCAAATCATCTATGGCGTGAGCACAAAACACCAGCACTAGAGGGAGAGAAAAAGAGCACAGCACAGCTGAAATCCGAAGACGCACTGAAATCGAACCAGCCGACTATTGCCTCTGTTTTGAAACTGGACGTCAACAAGCCTACGGAACAGAATATCGCGAATAGCTTCATCTCGCGCTTTGATAAGTAACACTTTCAGCATATGCTAGTCGAATTAATCGTCAGTAGTAACCAGTCCTTTTCCTTCGCCGAGAACCCCATCCTCTGAGAAAATTCCGACTATTTAAATCCCTCCGTTTCGATCCACCGCGCCAACTTGAGTGCCAGGGCTGTCCGATATAAGATCATTCAAGAGTATAACCGCCACAAGCAGAAGGTTATCGAGGTACTGAGGAACTCCCCTGGAGCGCTTCATATCTCATTTGATGGCTGGACGTCTCGAAATAAGCTTGCCCTCTACGGCATTGCTTGTTTTTTTTAGAGATGAGAAGAATCGGCCATGCAAAATCATGATTGGGGTTCCAGAGGCTCATCGTCACTTCGGCTTAACGATTGGTGGGGAGGTTCTCGACGTCCTACACACTCTTGGCGTGAGTCCGGAGAAGATTGGCTACTTTACGCTCGACAATGTTAAAAACAATGATACTGCAATGGAGGTCATTGGTGCTGAACTTGGGTTCGATGGCCGACTACGCCGAAGACGCTGTATTGGCCATACAATTAACTTGTCAGCCAAAGCGCTTTTATTTGGCAAAAGCGCCGGCGCGTTCTAGCAGCAATTGTCAGGCGCAGAAGCGTTATCTGATACTGAATACGCTCAATGGCGCAAAAAAGGACTAGTTAGCAAGCTACATAATATCGTAGTTAATATATATATTAGCCATCGGCTAATTTACTTATTCAAGGAGGTCCAGAGGGTAAGCGGTTTTACTAAATCCTATTCATCTCATACTGATTTAGTATATCTAATCTGTAACAGGATGAAATTAATCGCGCCACCACCCTTAAACTCCGATTGAAGAAACCACTCAAGCTAATTATCGATAATGACATGCGTTGGCTATCATAACTCTACATGATCCGCAGGGCTCTACGGTTAAAAACCTCTATCGAACTCCTACTGATCAAGTATAAGGCGCAATGGGAGGACGAAAATCGGTCTAAAAAGACTAGCCAAGTGACACAAGCCAAGTTGGCGAAAAAACCACGTATCCTCCGAGACAAGAATCAGCTAACGGACAAAGACTGAGAGGCTCTTTACCATTTGGAGGCTATTCTGACTGTTTTTGAGACTGTGGTAAAGACGCTTGAGGGTGATGGACACATCCGCAGGCGTAAGCAAGGCTGGACTGGCTCCTATGGCAATATCTGGGACGTGGTGCTTGGCTATGAGTTGCTGCTTAACACACTGGAAGAATATAAGCAGCTCGCTGCTGACTTTCCTGATCCAGAGCACTTCCGTATCGGAATCAACCTTGCTTGGGACAAGCTGGATGAATATTATCGGCGGCTGGACGAGACGCCCATCTACTATACGGCTATGGCGCTCCATCCAGCTTATCGTTGGGACTGGTTTGATGAAACGTGGGCTCATAAGCCTAGTTGGGTTGAAAAAGAAAAAGAGATGGTTGCTGACGTCTGGCTGTCCGATTACGCTCGTCTCGAGGTTAGAACCAGCAGCAGCAGAGGCGACGACGAGCCACCGGCAAAAAGACGTCGGTTTTTCAACCCCTTCGAGAAGAACAGCCGTCTGCCAAGCTCACCACCAGCCTCCGCAGCACCTATTGTTGGTGACGAGTACCAAGCGTGGCAGACGGATCGGGAGGCCGGCGACGGCAACGTTCGTGATCCAATTGGTTACTGGATCACTAAGAAAAGCAGATATCCTCGGTTATCCAGGATGGCCTTGGACTTCCTGACAATCCAGCCGATGTCAGCCGAGTGTGAGAGGTTATTTTCAGCTGCTGGCAAGATGGTCTCGGGGTTGCGTACGGATCTAGATGCTGAGATTATCGCCATTTATCAGGTTTTACGCTCTTGGTGCCGTGCTGGCCTTATTAAGGACCTGGATCCATTGCTTAAGTCATACCTTAAAAGTAAGCTGGATGCTGGTTGTGGGACTCTAAGCGACGACGAGCTGGCGCTTGCTGAGTCAAAATGGCTATTGGAGGGCGAGGACAGCGCCAGCAAGGTTGACAATTCATCACAGCAGCAACAGACTGAAGAGTTAGTGTCAACCTCTGAAAGTGAGGCTGAATAAGGCACCGACGAGGTTGTGAATAGCCTCAAAAATCCACTTATAAATCCACGTGTGTACATCCATTCCACTCCGGTCGAATATGTGTTACATCCACTATGTAATTGCCTAAAAAATCGTACATCCACTCTACTTGGTCCAAAGTGGAGTGGATGTAGTGGTTCCGAGCCTTGCAGGGCAAACG